GAAGTGGAATGTATGCAGTGGACTGCATACTTTTGCTGCGATACCGGGGGTGGCTCGGGTATGTGAGGTGTATGAATTCGACGCGGATACTGAAAAAACTATTATGTGGTCAGCTGAGTATTGGGAATCGGCATATTGGGAAACCAAAGTTACGTTACCAGGACATGATCAAAGCGAGCCTCTTACGGTCTAATCTTGATTACAGGTCATGGGAATCGAAAGCTGTTGATCGGCATGCATGGCGCGATCTAATCACGAAGGCAGTTGCCGAGGTGCAGAGGAAAGCTCTGGTGCATGCAGAGAAGAAGCGGCAATTGCGGAAACGACCAGCGCCGATGGGTTGTACTCCATCGACAAAGAGCGCATGGTGCTGTATAACATGCGGTCGCGAAAGCTTGAGTCAGCCATGTCTAGTGAGCCGTGAGCGTAGCCATTCGGGGCCACCACCTTAGCGACGACGAGTCCTGCAGCGGACGTAGGCGGAACTGGCCCAGCGTTTTTAGGTATGCTGCATTCGATTTACTAACCGGGTGCTTGCATGCTGTCTTTATATTTTAGGTGGTAGGTTTGCTATATTGTCCTAATGCTTTTTTATCTCATACTAATGTCTATCTAAACTATCTTCTATAAAATTGCACACGTCGCTGAAGCTAATGATACTTAACCACGATAACCTTTTCGCGGTGGTGGCATTTTATATATATTTTCTGAAGTATTGTACCTTTCGCGGATTTTTTGCAACCATTTCATTTCATACGCTTAATTAGTGAAGGATTATGTCTCCGCGTCTGTGTGCATCATTCGCAGTACTTGACTTGATATTGGTACTTCAAGTGATTGGCTGTTGTTTGACATTACCGGTGTGGCTGCGCCTGATGTGCGTGTTGACGAGGTGCCTACCTGTTTATTACCCACTACCTCGTTCATACTGGCTCCAGGAGACAGTTGGTCGTTGCTGGAGGGGACGGGGTGCAGCGTCCTTGTGGCCGTACTAGGATCAAAGGGTGGTTCCATGCATTCAGTGTGGAGCGGACTACGGTCCGGCCGCCGCCTTGTGTGCGCTTTATTCCCCAAATACAGCGTGTAGGCCGGCTCCGTTGATGAAACGTGGCTCCCATCCACATGCCTCCCGATATTATTCCTTCAGATTTACACTGGATATGGGGTGTGTGGTTGGAGCTGTGGGTGGTGCAGCGCAACTCACCCATGGTCCCTCTGTAGGGATAGGTGTCCTGTGACTGGCTACAGTGACAGGCAAATCCGAAACCGGATGCCTCCAAATATATATATATATATATATATATATATATATATATATATATATATGCTGGGGATCCTCCTCAAACAGGCGCTGTGAAAGGCCGAATGCCTACGCATGTAGTCTACACGGATCATTCTATACTTGCATCTTTGCGCCAAGATCGCGCGAACGGTATCACTGTAGACTATGCCCTTTACTGTCATTGGCATTTCTCGACGACGCTGCAGACGCCCCAGGTTATCAAAGCCTACGAAACCTTCGAGGCAACATTGCTCTTCTCCAGTGGTGCCATCACCAAAAATGCAGCTCCATAGTTAGACGAAACTGTACTCATTTTTATGGCTTATGCCTTCATTGATGAGTTAGAGAAGGAGAGTCTGGTATTCCTGTAACGCCACTTTACGCATAGAGTGGTCAAAGCACAGGCTATGTGTAGATTCTCCAACCACCGGTCAATCGGGGATCATTAGCGTACCACGAGTCGTCACCGAGAATTGCGTTATCACCAGCGTACTCTCAGTCGGTGGCATGGCTAACTTAAGGTGTTCGATATCAAAACTATACAGTCATTCTAATGCTCTAAACAGTCTCAAAGTTGAATAGTTGTGGCGCGCAACTGTTGATACGGAAGAGTGCAGAAAGGTTGTCGTAGACTCCCACCGTGCCTGAATTATATAGGTATATTTCTTGCAGTCTAGCGACATACCTCAGGAACCATTCTTTAGCAGACATCACCATAACTCAGGTCGATCCACTATGTCGAATGAAACCCGGATGTCCATTATTCGGCAGAAGTGATAATGCTCGGGGAATTGACGCTTCGTAAATATTTGTTCCGCTTAACACCATTATATCACCCATCAGGCTCCGGGGGCTTGGACACGTTGCGCATGCCAGCCCACCCACTCCCGCGACGTGCGTCGTTTGCGCCAGCGGTCTGAATGAGAGAGGAGGTGGGGGGCCAAGCAATGACTTGATCAAGAGGAATAAAAACCCCTAACTTCGAAGTTTTCGTCGGTTTTTGCATCGTGACTGTCGGGCTAGGACGATGAACACGTTTGGTTGGACGCACTTTTTGACATGGCTAGAATTTAGTTCCATTGGTGTTTGTGCTGTGAGTTACTTTGTTTATCTCCTCTCCTTTAGATCCCCTCCAATCACGATCTCAAAACAAATTAGTTACGGGATATTTATCATTACATTACCTGATTATTTTGAAATTTTTGTATCTTTTTTCGACTACAGCGCAGTAGATGAGGTGTGTTTCTCGCCCACAACTAACGTGTATTGATGATGATGAATATTTGCTCCCCACGTCTCCGATCTGGGCGAAAATCGGCATGTTTCTCCCGATAGTCTGTCACGCGTTGTGGCTTTACTGCGTAGAACGGTCGTCTTTATTGTTTTCGGGCCAAACGATGTCTAGTCCATCTACGATTGTTGTATAAAGTGCGGGAGCTTTTCTTGAAGATTGGGACAATTACTGACTCTCCCCTAGAAGAGGGTAACCTTTGTTCTTGCCAGATTTTCGAGTATACGGAATCTGGATGATTGACAGCTGCCGTGTCTGTATTCTAGAGTAACTACGTGATCAATGCGGTTACGATCAGGGGGATGGCTAGCCTCGTTTTCATGCATTCGGCTCTCTCCGGAGCTAGTTAGTCGTTGAAGAACGATACCAGTTCGAGGTTTTGGATCAGATTCAAATAAGGCTGACGCCTAGATGATTTTTGCACCATATCCGTTGACGAGTGTTGAAGATCGGGATCAAAGTTCGCAGTCACCAGCCTGCAAGCATCTCTTTAGTTTCTGGAAGAGTGTTGAATGAATCAGCAGTTATAATCAACAATGAGTCTCTTGCATCTTTCATCAAAAGTGTCGGAAGACAGATTGGTCCAGCAGCCTTGTTTAGTCTCGACGCTGCTGACTGATGTAGGAGATGTAACATCAAACCCGCACATGTGTTCAAGTGATTCGGCATGCGGTAGTGCCACAACAGTTGTGCTGTTTAAAATGTTCCGCCCAACGTGCTACTCGTTAAACCTCAGAATGGAACAACTGTCCGTATTTCTAAGCTAATTATCTGACTTTTGCTTATTGTTCGCTAGGTGCCCAACATCGAAAATGGCGATACGAACTATTAACCCTAATGGTCGTTCACTAGGGATCTGCCCGGATTCATAGAGTAATCATTCAGGCGTCTGATCGGTGACCGCAACACCTCATGTTCAGATTTTTGTTCCTTTGGAGCCTTGGCAGAGTGTCTCGGTCTGCACACAACCGCTTGTTGTTGTTGTTCTATGCTAGCAAGACTTCAGTGCAGTATGATAGCTAATATCTCTGCTGTGCTGTATTAATTATCCACCGCAAAGATAGCTTGAACTTATTGAAAAGATTGGCTCTTGTAAACGCTGATGTTTGTCCATCGCTTCATTCTTTCATACATATACCCCTCCTCATACTGTGTGAGCTACTACGTCGCGCCACTTTTCTAAGTCTGAATTCCAATCCCCTGAACCATCTTTAACCTGAATGCATTTAATCCGCGTTCAGAGGTTGCTGACTAGCCACATCTTCTTCACTTCTTCAAGGTGCTGTTGAACTGCATTTTTTAACTGGATTAGAATTGCTCTCTGATGATGTTCAATCGGTTATTATATGCGGCATTTTCGACGACACGATTGAGCTGCTTGTTTTGTTTTCCTTTGCTTACGAATTTTTCACACATGTTGCAGACACTGGGTTAGGTAACACAGGCGTTGTCATTGACGTTATGACAATACTCGCATTAACTGCAGCTTGTCAGCTGCACCATGCTACGCTAAAAGTTCAAGTTCAGCACAACGAACCCAAATTAGCTAAGCACATTTATGCCTCATATTTTGCTTGAATGCATTTGGTTTCGCGTAGCAATTGCATGACATTTCACCCTTAAGTACCAACACTAGCTTCTGTGAATCGTGGTTGGTAACTCTTTTTATTACGTACAGCTATCTGCACAGATGTAAGTATGAAGTTTGTTTGATGATGGCGCCATCGATTGGTGGTCACACGAAAGCATCTCATTGTCGCTACCTTGTTCTTATACAATGGATAGCTTTTTATGACCTTGTGATGTCGGTTTGGTGTGTACGCCTTGCTTTCTAATGTACTTTTACTCAGGTCATTCGAATCCTGTCCTGGGTCCAACTTGATCCCTCCCTCGCTTCCTCATTTGTGGGTGGGGCCACCTGCATTGGTCCAAAAGTATTTGACGGCGATACGCCTAAGCAACTTACTGATTTGTTATTGTAGCGTTCGTTAATAACGCGCGAATTCATCACGAAATTTTGGACAAACGAAGTTGACGAATAGGATATTGCATAATCACACCACTTTTTGGCTTTATTTGGAATTCCGTTGATCAAAGTTCCAGCACCTATGCGAGGTGTATATTTTTTGCGCCGTTATACGTTGCTCGAAGTACAAGATTTACGATTACGTGTTTTGCCTGTGTTTTTCGTCCTCCGTGTTCTGATAACATGAGGTCTTGATAAATCATGTCAACCTGAGTTTGGCGCTTATTTTGATAGGGTGAGATGAGTATTTTTCCTTACAGTGTGAAACTACCTATTAGGTTAGTTCTTTTACTATTAAGGCGTCCTGATTTCGAAATGCACCCGAGTATATAGTCGTTTAACTCATGTAATAATTAGCGCTTCTTCTGATTACTCGTGTAATGTGGGTTTTTATTTTTCAGGACAATACCAAGCCGAGTCCACAAATGAGAGAACCTTTGGGTCTGTGCATTTTGAGGCCGAAGCCAGAGCCTGCAGACTCACGACCGTCAACGTTATCTCCGAGCAGGGAGGAAACGTATACCTCCCTTGATCCTTCGGTGGACTCGGTGTATTCCAGTGCACAGTGTACTTCCGAACAGTCATTGAAAACAGAACAAAGTGCTTCTGTTAATCCAACGGAAGCTAATTGCATACCGGTGATGAATGAAGTGCCTCCTCCCCGTGTTTCCCAACAAGGTATAAGTCTACAGTATACTCACACCTGTGTTCCTATATATACTTTGACGCTTGACCGATCACTGCGATTTACAGAGTTGCTACCTAGGTATAAAGGCAACATCCCCGAGAGATAAACTGCAGTGATAGGTATAGAGTTTCACTATCATCTTGCCCACAATATGTGGAATTGTACAGTGGTCAGAGGTTATACCGGTGTTTTGAGAGCGCTAACCGTTCACGATCTTCGGGTTCATATAGATGGTCGACGCCTATGAATTCCTATGTGTTCTACTAATGCTGTGATGACGCGTGTTCTCGGGATCCGCCCTTGCGGCACCCAATTTCTGCAACGGAGCGTCTAGACCGGCTACACACTGATTCACCACGCTTGACTTTGTGATGTGGTATCTGTCGCAGCTGATGGAAGCTCGGCGTCTAGTCTTACCAGGGCCTGGCGCTTAACTACTGGGCTAATAGTTTGTAGGTGCATCAGCGGCGGGCACTCGAGCGACTACTTTGACCTCAACCTGATACGCTTGCCCTGTTCTGGAGTAGATGCTGACGATTGCGAGCGGCACCGCGAAGGCCCGTCTGAAATTCCGACGAATACTCGAACCCGGTTCATTGTGAGCTATGCGTATGGGGTGGATCGCGAACTGCTGACATTGCTCAGGCTGTATATGGACTGCGACTACTTGTCCTCTCCGTTGGCAGCGATGGTGCTCATTTACGCGCTGTTGTTGATGAGGAAACCAATACGTAAGCATCGGTCGTTAACATGAAACGGATGATCTGTTTTGTTGCTTCTGAAGGCATTACCAGTGCCAAACTGCGAGCTGTTCGTTTTTCTTAAGGTGCTTGAGCCATGTCTGTAGCGCACGGACTAGAGGCTTCTGGGGTGATTATTCCCTACCGGAAATGCTGCCTGCACAATTAATCGATGTGTCTGACTAAGATTCACTACCTGTCCATTACGGAGGGGACGTAGACGGGCTACAACAAACGGTAATCAACCTAACTAACGTCAGACTCATGAGCAGTTCGTTGAGATTTCATCGTAGTAGCTTCCAAATCATCTAGCCCTCCACATGTCCTAAAAATCACAGGATTGCAGTTTCGACCTGGTCGCGAGTGTGGCGCCACAGGTCGCCCACTGTGAATATGCAGTCCACACCACACAGGCATGCAGCCATCGCCTTCTCCAGCTCAATACGTTTCAACACAGTACCGAGGGAATGTTAAATTGACGACGATTCACGGCGGGAGTGCAATACATTGATTTATGAAAATATATGTAATGTTTTGTCCGGCACCAATCGGTGCCACACTGAATTCCGCGCACTTCACGCATATCACTCTGATGTACGATGACATAGTCGAGCAGATGAGTGTGACCACTCCGTGGGTGCGTCCAAGATGCTATATCACTAGCACTCACTGCAAATCGAGTGTTCGTGATCGTCAGGCCGTGAGAGGCACACAGTGAGAGCAGCCTGTCACTGTTCGCATTCGCTGAACCAATGCCATGCGAACCGATAACATCTGTCCACACCGATGCATCACGCCCAACATGCGCGTTGAAATCACACAGGAGAAATAGTCGGTCGCTCCTCGGCACAGACAGCATCACGGAGGATAGCTCAGTGTAGAATTGATCACGCGTGTCATAAGGATAACACATGGTAGGACCGTACGTGCTTATAAAGGTGGCAAACTTAACTCTTCCGAGTCGTATGCGAACAGTCATCAGTCGCACGCTGATGCCTGTTCGTTAACTCACCAGCTGACCATGGAGGCGATCGGATATTGCAAATCCGACCCCATGATCACGTGATGCTGAGGCGGCGTTGCCCACCAAGTAGAATGTGTAGCCAGCACCTGCTTGATGCAACTTACCTTGCTCAGCAAGCCGAATTTCACTGGGCGCCGCAATATCGATGTCGTAGTGCGCCAGCTCCATCGCGACCAGTGCAGTGCGTCGCTCGAGGCGCTCGCTGGAGTTCCGGTCCAGTAGTGTGCGCACGTTCCAGCACTCGATGCTGAGTGCTTTGCGCGCAGGCATACGATTGTATTAGTAGGCCATCGCCCGCGATGTGGTCGTTGTGCTTCGGAGGCTTACTTAAAGGACTCCGCCCGGAGTCTTTGGCTCAATATCCTGACCCACAGGCAGTGGAAAGCAGATCCAGCTCTGGAATGTGGTGGCAGAGACAGATTGGGATCTGCTTGACGGCCGTCATACGCAGTCTTTGAGGTACTGGAACGATTCCTATATGTTTCGCGACCATAGTAGGATACGCACCTGTGACCACGGCCAGACGCAGGTGGGTTTTTGGCGGGTTTGCACCAATTTGACTAGGGGCTGCCTGGCTTGAGGCAAGCAGTAGCAAACCATTGAACACCCGGAGGTGTCCTCCCACCGTCAGAGACAATGCGTGGCGCTCGTGCTCTACGCCAATCTAGTTGTGAGTCTATAACCCTAGACCTGTTGTCTCCCATAGCTAGGTTTTACGGGAAGTGAGCCACCGACCACTTCATAACCTCCGAAGAGGATGGACTAGGATACTGGCAGGGCGCCTACACCTGACAGGCGAACTTCTCGGGTTCTCTGCCAAAGCCTTCCATTTAATGAACACTGGAACTGCAGCGGGTCTAGCACATAGTCAAGTCACAGTGTCATGAGGACTGGTGTCCTGGATCTTAGCAGGGTGAAGGGGGGTAACCCAGCTCCCACCCAGCGGTTGCCAGGAGGAGGTGCCCAGGAGATGAGCCAATGGGACAACAGTAGCAGCAGTGGGTTGACTATCTGTCAAAATTTAGCCGCCACCAGCTTCAGCGCACCATAGGCTCATTGCTAATGCGGTTCTCCTAACATACATGAGCTAAGCTGCGAAATAGTGATGACAGAATGTGACTACCCTCTTTATGTCTGTCGACATAATGGGCCTGGTTTCACAACCGTATATGAGGGTTGAATAGACTACTGCATTATAAACTTTGCCCTCCAGGGCAAGCGTGATGTCGCGACCACGGCGCAGGTCGCAGAGATTGGCGAAAACACCTCGAGCTTTTGCTATACGCCTCGTAATCTCATCTTCGATCCCACGGGCACTAATATAGCTGCCCAAGTTCTTGCATTTCTGAACGCCTAGTTGCTCACCTTCCAGTATCAGCGCAGGGTTTGATCTTTTCCAATCTTGGAGTACTTCGCATTTCAATGGAGCAAAGCCAAGCCCTAAACCATTGACAGCCAGTAGCAATATCTTCCGCATACTCCAAGTCACGAAGTCGCTCACCAGATAGTAGCTCCACACCTTCTAAGTCGTGTCCAGCGAAAGCTGTTTCCACGCCACCTCATCATGTGACAATTTTAGAAACTGAATACGTAGAGCATCTTCGTGAGTGGCTCAATAGTGAGTAAATTAGTGAAATGAGCTGAGGCAGACCACGGTTTGCTCACTCACCGGACGGCAGCAAACAGCTACATTTATGTATGCATTTACATTGAGTACAATAAAGCCAGCGCAAAAGTATGCATAGAATTACCTTTTTAGTCTCTACAATACCGATGCTTGCTACTGTCGAGTGCCCCCAACCATGGCTCATTTCGAAGTTAGTGTTTTTACACTTCGAACCGTGATCATGCATGTATAGAATTGCCGTCGTTTTCGGATAGCTATAACGCATAGTTACCGCTGTGTAGGCGTGCGGAGCACATGCATAACTCTCGAGTGCATAATGCAGCTCAGCGGTCAACTGGGCCTCTTTGACCTGAAACTCCGTCGACAGCATCCTCACTAATGCGTTGTCTCTATCGTGCATCATCAGTGCTCCGAAAGTGGCGCTGATCAAAGACGGATGTTCACTCATCGTCATCATTCAGCATCCGACATGTAATTAAGGGATGAGAAACACCCCCGGTATTGTGCCGCAATACATTACAATCAGTTGACAGTAAAAAGGAAAGAAACAGCTAGGTTAAATAAAATATTGCGCTTTGTTCACTTTTATGCACTTGCGACGTGCTCGTAGTTATAGGGTTGGAAGTTAAGCTGAAGAGGGCAGGACAAATAAGCGTACAGCGCCGACACCATTTTGATCGGCTCTTTGCCACGTCTGCAAGTTAGTCCAACCAAATGTGTTTTGTTCCAATGGATGGATTCCTTTCCGGCGCAACCAGCTTCTCACTCTAGATAACTTCAATTGACCAGAGTTCAAGCTAGCGATTACCTACTAAGTTGCGTGTGAACGGAGCACAAATTTGAGGAAATCACAACCCCTCGCTTTTTCACAAACAATTGTTGTGTGATTCGAGCTCAATGGCTTATGTTTTGGCAGTGTACTGGTGAACGGTCATTCTTTTCACCAAGTTCTCCGTCTTCGGATTTTCCGGTTGGATTAGGAGCTCTTACGAAGAGTCTGATTCCGATAACCGGAATCGCACGCAATAAGCAGACCACAACAACTGGCGAGGGACTACTTTTGATTAAGGAACCCCGAAATACTGTTTTCAGTAGACCATTCTACTACAGCATCAGCAGTTTGATGGAGTCAAAGGAAGTTTATAGCTCACATCTTTCAGCGCAACGCGATGCAGTCATGCCCAAACACTGAAAAGCAGCATTCTTCCATGGATGCAATCTCCAGCACTATTTGCGAATTGCCGTACTGCCCGGTTGCTATCCTGACATTTGAATCTTGGTTCAGATGATGGTCTGAATCTATCGATGCAGGTGACGCTCGGAATTACAAACTTCTGCGTAGGTTGGGAACCCAGCAGCACGACAAGTTCTTCAATATTATCCTGCCAAATTACCCCAAGGATTTCAAATTTTTGGTGATCTGTTTTCCCTGTTCAACGTTCGATATAATCGCATGAAGCTCCTTAAGTGCGCTTCAGATGATTTCGTTGCGTACGCGACTATTGCCAACCGTCATTGTTAGTGCTTCAGGCTAAAATAGATGACACGCTACCAGTATAAGACGTTTATTTTCGATTGCGCCAAAATACGCATGCGGTT